ATCTCCATTCTCCATTCTCCATTCACTCCTTCATCTCCTCCATTGAAGCGGCTCTGAGCTTTCACTCCTTCATCTCCTCCATTGAAGCGGCTCTGAGCTTTCACTCCTTCATCTCCTCCATTGAAGCGACTCTGAGCTTTCACTCCTTCATCTCCTAATGTCCTCAGGTAATTAACTAATTATCCCTTTGCCAGATCTAATTATTTGCAATGAATTGATTAAATTCAATTAAATTTAAACTCTTGTTTTAATTTCACAGATCGCAGATTCAATTTAGGGCTCTGCGTACTTCGACTTCTCCATTGAAGCGGCTTCTGAGCTATACGCCTATACTCCTTCATCTCCTCCATTGAAGCGTACTTCGACTTCTCCATTGAAGCGGCTCTGAGCTTTCACTCCTTCATCTCCTACATTGAAGCGGCTCTGAGCTTTCACTCCTTCATCTCCTCCATTGAAGCGTACTTCGGCTCTCCATTGAAGCGACTTTTGAGCTTTCACTGTTGAGGTAATTTACATTTTATAGTATCTGACTATCTGTGGTTTTTTCGGATTTGTAATTGTTTTTTTTCCTGATTTTTTATTGTGGTACTATTATTTTTTTTTTTTTGTTTTTTTTTGGGAGGAATGGTACTTATTATGGTTTTCAGAATTGAGGTTTTTTTTTATTATTTTTTGTCAAGTTGTGTCTGTTAGATTTAGATGAGTGAGTAAGGTGAGATTTCTGTTTTTGATGTGGAAATAAGGTTGTTGAGAAAAAACAAGGATTCAGAGTGATGTTGCTAAGCATCTATAGTTGTTGTGTACTAATGTTGTTGAGCATCTATAGTGTTGTGTGATGGCTTCCTGTGTGTTGAGCATCTATAGAGTTGTACATGATAATCATGTAGTCCAATATGATTTATTGTAACATGAGTTAATTACAAGCATTTTAAGAAAACGTTTTAAGATTTATTGTAGTCCAATATGATAATCATGTAGTCCAATATGATTTATCTAGTTGCTTCTACTCAGGTTAATCTGTCAATGTATGGTTTAACAGAATTGAGTAATATTCGTCAGCTGGAATTTGGTTTAACAGTAACTTGTGTGGCTGTGTACATCATCTTTTGGACTCATTTTCAGTAATACTTGCCTAAGGTACTGCAAGGCTCACAGAGTGATTATATGGTGTAGTTGTACCAATAGTTTTTTTTTTTATTTCACTTGCTTGTCTGAGATTTTATGATTGTGTATTTGTGTGACGTGGAAAAGTTTTTGTCCTGTTTGTTTCTAATAGACATATGTCCTAGATGTTCACCCTTTCAACCCTCATATAGCTATGACTCATTCTTGTTATTTGTGTATACATGATTGAACTTATTTGTTTTTTTTTTCATTTGTAGGAGTGTATGGAATCTGGAAGTAGTGGGGATATGGAAGACTCATCGACTACAAGTCAAGCTCCTCCAATTCCAAGTCCTCCTCCCGAGCCTTGGGAGTATGACCCTTGTCCAATGACGGAAAATAATGACCCCTTTGACCAGCAAAATCAATCAAACCAACCTTCTGAACCTGCTGATGCTGCTGCCCCCTTAAGTGAAACTTCAAAAAAATCTAGAAAAAGGCGCTTTCCTCATTGGGAGCATTTTATAAAGAAGGATGGAGAAAACAAGGCTGAATGTATCTATTGTCATACATTCATTAGTTGTGCATCACTTCAAGGTACCTCCGGCATGAAGAACCACATAAAGCGGTGTAAGGAATACCCCCCAAACATTGATCAAAATCAGCAACTATTGTCCCTTAGTCAACAAACTCTTGATGGGAATCTCGTGGATAAAAAAAAGGTAGACTTGAGCTGTGGAAATTCAATCAAGAAGATAGTAGGAGAGCTCTGGCAAAGATGGTGATCATGGATGAAATGTCTTTTAGAATGGTGGAGCATGAAGGTTTTCGCAACTTTATGAAGGTAACGCAACCCTTTTTCATTATTCCTTCTCGATGGACAGTGACTAGAGATTGTTTTAGTATTTATTTGGATGAGAAAAATAGTTTGAAAAGTTTTTTTAGTAAGTGCACTTCACGTATAAGTCTCACCACTGATACTTGGACTTCTTGCCAAAATATGAATTACATGTGTTTAACTGCTCACTTTATTGACCAAAATTGGAAATTGCATAAAAAAATAATTAACTTTTGTATAATTGCTGGTCATTCTGGTGAAACAATTGGTAAATCTGTCCAAAAGTGTCTACTTGAATGGGGTATTTCTAGAGTAATGAATGTCACTGTAGATAATGCAAGTTCAAATGATGTTGGCATTCAATATTTGAAAAGAAGGTTTGAAAGTTGGAAGACATTAGTTTTGGGTGGTCGGTTTTTACACATGAGATGTTGTGCTCACATATTAAGTTTAACCGTTAAAGAAGGATTGAAAGAAAGTGATGTGTCAATAAAAAGAATTCGTTGTGCTGTTAGGTATGTAAGATCATCGGGTGCTAGATTGCAAAAGTTCATGAGTTGTGTTAAACAAGAAAAGTTGGAGTCAAAACGTTTTCTTTGTTTAGATGTGGATACTAGGTGGAATTCCACTTTTTTAATGCTGGAAGGTGCTTTGGCATATCGTAGGGCTTTTGATTTGCTTGAATGTTCAGATGGTGGTAAATTTAGGTATGAGTTACTTAAGACAGGCGGGGTGCCTGAACCTAGTGATTGGGATTGTGTTGCCTCTTTTCTTCCTTTACTTAAAATATTCTATGATGCTACTCTACGAGTTTCCGGCTCGTTGTATATCACCTCTAATGTGAATTTACAAGAACTTGTTGGGATTAGTGTGTTAATCAAGAAAAAAATGTTGAGTAATGATGCGGGGGTGAGTTTAATGGCTAGTGGAATGAAGAAAAAGCATGACAAGTATTGGGAAAATGTTGATAATGTGAATCTCTTGTTGTATATTGCTGTCATTCTTGATCCTAGGCGGAAAATGGGATATACTAAATGGGCAATTAATCAACAATATGATTCTGAAAAAGCTAAGTACTTGTGTGATAAAGTGATGCAAACTCTGAATGACATGTATGAACTTTATATTTCTGAAAACCCTCCAAATAAGTCCAAAGAAGATATGGATTCTGATGTAGATGTTGCGGAATTAGAGTTTGAAAGGCAGGTGGGTTCATGTGCTGGAGTACAAGGGAAAAATGAGTTGGCCAAATATTTAGAAGATGATAGAGAAGTTAATCCCGCCGGAAAAAGCTTTGATTGTTTGGGGTGGTGGAAAAAATATGGTGAAAGGTATCCAACAATAGCTCTCATGGCTAGAGATGTACTTGCCATTCCCGTATCAACAGTCGCTTCCGAATCAGCTTTTAGCACCGGTGGTCGAGTGCTTGATTCATTTCGCAGCTCACTCTCAACTAAGATGGTTGAAACCTTGATTTGTGCACAAGATTGGTTACGTACATCTCAAGGTCCTCTTATACCTGAGGAGAGACTTGAAGATATGGAAAAAATTGAATCAGGTAACATTTAAATATTTTCTCTTTTTTTTTAATCTCATTATCTTGTTAATTATTCATTAACTTTTTTTTTTTAATTTTTTTTTTTGAAGAAATGTTACCTCTTGGTGAGGAACACTCTCTCTTTGTTGATGATGATTAATTGATTAGAGGCAGCAACTTATAATCATGAAGGTTGGTGGTGATTGTATTGAAGGCCGGAAGTCATCGAAGGCTTGGAGTATTTTATGAAATATGATTACTATGGACTGTTTTTGTTTTAAAACTATAAACTATGGACTTTTTTTTTGTTATGTATTGGTTTATTATTGTTAACTATGGACTTTTTTTTTTTTTAAAGAAACAATATGTTTGTATCAAGTATTTGTTCATTTGTAATCGGGTTGAGTGCTGTGTTATATGTGTATTCAGGTTTAAATATAAGCCTATTAGGCTGTTATTTGTTACAAAAAAAATCATAGTACTAATAACAATAATTAATACTAGAAAAACAGGTGGAAGTTTGGACAAAAATATTATTAAGCAGGTGGGTACAAGGAGGAGTTCAGGCAGCCAAGTAGGAGAGGTGAGGATGCAGCAGCCTCAAGGACAGGGACTGGTAGGTTGCCAAAGCGGAAGACAGCGATAGTTGTAATTATTTTTGTTATTTGTGTATTTAAGTTCAATTGTTATAGTTCAAAAAATAGGAAGTAAAAAAAAAACTAGTAAAAACTAAAAAGCATCTAAAAACGAATTGCAAAGCAGGTTTTAAATAAATAAAAAGACCCAAAAAAAAAATCAGCTTATTGGTTCGGTTCGGATATTTGGTTCGGGTACCCGTATTTTCGGGTATCCGAATTTACGGATACCCAAACCTTATCGGAACGGTTTCGGGAATCGGTTTTAGCCTTAACGGTTATCGGGTACCCGAACCAATAACGTTATCGGAACGGGTACCCGTCCCATGCTCTCCCCTAATATCTATTGTATCAATTGACTCTTTACATTATTTTTATACTCATACTAACATTGACCATATTTTTACCATTAATGTATATTAATAAATTTTATTATTTTAAATGGGGTTGAGTACTTTAATCTCAATATATATTTTCAAAGTAAATTTTTTTTAATCTTTATAATTGGCATTTTAATGATCAAAGTAGTGTATTGACAAACGTCTATAGTCAATTAATGCAAATATTAAGAAACGGAGAAAGTATGAAAAAGTGATGATTAGTTAAATAGTTTATTTAAAAACATAAGATACGAGAGGAATAAAAAGTAGAGACCATGAGAAGAGAATATATAATTTAAAATATAAGGACATGTTCTATTTACCTTATTTTCACTTATTTTAGGTGTAATAAGTTACATTCAGTAAAGGATAAAATAAGCTCTGATAAGAGTTATCCAACTACAAACTAAAACTAAAATAATTTTTAATAAGGTATAATAAGTTCAAATAAAATAAGTTTAAATAAGTGATAATCAGGTGAATAAAACACACCCGAGTGGGACCAAATGTGAATTATGTTTTAAATTGAAGTATACTTTTTACAAATCTAATCAGGTGATGAAAATATATTATTCTTGAAATTTTTTACAAAATTTAATTTACTTTTTTCATATAATCCAGTACTCTTGTTCAAAAAAAAAAAAAAAAGAAAAAAAGTATAATCTAGTAGTACTCTAATCAAATAAGATTTTCTTATAAGGTTCCAAAAAAAAAAAAAAAAAAAAAATTGAATTCTTAAAATTTATCTTAATAGTCAATAGATACAAAGAACATAAGATAAGTGATTAGAGTGAAGCTTGAGTTCCAAAAAAATAGATACAAAGAACATAAGATAAGTGATTAAAGTGAAGCTTGAATTCCAAAAAAATTGCCACATTTCATAATGTAGTACAGTAGTAAATTTAAATAATAGCACTAATTAAATCATCTAAATTGAGTTGTGACATTAATTAACAGTGTCCAAGTCAGTTTTTGATTGACCAAGGTTAAGATATATAAAGTGAGTAAAGGCTTCTTATTTTGTCTATCTGGGACAATAATTTCTCAAGTTATATTGAAGCAAACTAAACTCGGATCTTTTAGCAATGATAAAGGAATAACTCCAACATGTTTTTTTTTTTTTTTTTTAATTAAGATTTTCAATATAGCAATGCTTAAATCAAGCGATATGACGATACAAAAAGATAGAAATGGTTCAACAAATGGTTCAACAATCTCTCTCTCTCTCTTTTTTTTTTTTTTTTTTTTTTTTTTATCCTTATATAAAACTCGTTTCATATTCTTATTTATGACAATTGCAACACCTAATTCCAGAGTCAGAATGAGAGTGAGGGAAAGCTCAAGTGGTTAGAGCTTCCCTCTCGATTCCAAGAGATGTTGGGATCGATTCTCAATTTCTCATCACCTGTCTTTGTGGCTCTCTAAACACCCAAAAAAAAAATTCCAGAGTCTGGATCGAGGGTACTGCAAGAAGGCAAACCAGTATTCAGTAGTATGTAGAAAATGAATTTCTACGGTCAAATGATATCCACATATCACCCTTAAAGAAGTTCTAACATTCTACAAATGTCAAGAATATCAATGCAATTAATGAAAGATTACAAAGAATATAGGAGGGAGAATTTACAAGTAACAGGTATAGATCATTTGACAGCAAAAAAGAAAAAATATCATCCAATAGTGATTTCGTGATCCTGTCGTTGATGTACCAATGCCAGATTCATTCCGTTTGTAGTAGAACTGCCTGCTTGACTCTCTTCTTCAACTGCTCTAAAATATGAGTAAGGTCCCCAACCTGGTGTCAACAAATCCACAGAGACTGAGTCAGCTCAAAAGTTTTATCACAACTAAATTATAGTAAACAGAAAGTGTAATGCTACTGATGTCGTAAGTGGTGACGATTAAGTTTATAGAGAATATTTCAATAGGATGCATAGCAAGTCAGCCAGAGGATTCAAAAGTGACGTTACCCTTGGTGCTATGTGGTGGAGGGAAGAATTGGAGATAGCAAACGAAAGAAATGAAAAGGCCTGCAAAGAAGGTAGAAAATTGACATTATGTTGATAGAACACAAAGATGTAATATGTCACATGCGCCCTCAAAGATTCTACTTTCAATATAACTCTAACGATAACGAACCTAGTAAACCTCCTGCAAAGACATCTTGCCAATGGTGCCAGTAATCATCAACTCGAGATACACCTACAAGGGCTGCCATAAGGAGAGGGAGGAACACAACACATAATTTGCCTGCATGCCCCTTTTGATCAAATACTTGGATTTTCGCTGACAAATAAAACGATAAAAATCCAAGTCCTGCAAAAGACCCTGTATTGAATTCCAACAAATACCTTGTAAGATACAGAAAGGCATAACAAAACAAACCAAAAATTAAGATAAAAATTTGTTGTAGCAATATCAGCCAGGTTACGAAAGTAATTGACAAATAATGGTATCATTTTTAATCAAGTACAAGATTTGAATATAGAGTAGTAACTCAGGGATCGGAGTTTCTTACATGAGGTATGACCACTGGGAAAACTCTTGTGCCCCTCCTTTATCACAGCAGGATCGCCATTGCATATTACATCACCCAAGGGATCATATAACTGCAGGAAATCAGGAAATGGGCAGCACAATGCAAATCAGAGTTCAATTGCACAACTGAGACTTATTTTTTTCAGAATTTCACAATGATTTGTGAGGTTACACAGAAAATAAAAGGATAAAGTTTCATACATCCTGGCCATCAGGAAAGCAGCGCCAATAGAAGTCAGGTCTAGGTCGGCCAACTCCATCTTTAATAGCATCTGTAATGACGCCGGTAATGAGCACTGAATACAACAGGCCTGCATATTGTAGGAGAAATTGTAAGTTGAGCCTCCATAGAACTTGAATTTTCTTTAACAAGAAAATAGAAAGGAGTATAAGATATCAGGACTATACCTAGAACCGCATGATGTAAATCATGGACATCTCTTCTCCTAAAGTAGCGGATATTGAAAATAATTATAGGCAGCAAAACCGCATAAATCTGCCAAATACATGCAATATTATACCTGAACAACCCTTATGGTTTTGTTGCATGTTCCTTTGCTAACATGATGCAAGATAGCAATATATAACAGAGTTTATAACAATTATATAGAGACTTACAGGAACTGCCCATACTGGAACTGTATTTGATTTCAAAGGATACTTAAGATCTGTCATCATATCCTTTCCAACAAAGCGATAAAATGGACTTATGACATTCAAAATGATTTCAATGACCACCAAAAGTATCAGTATTAACCAATCATGGAGGTGTGTTCTTGCTATTGTGGCACCATGAGATTTAATCGAGTATGCTCGAACCTGATCACCAATTGTCATTCTCCCCTCCTGAACAATACAATAGCCATGTTACAACTCACAATGGCTGACAGAATTCACCTTCTTAGTCAGATAAGCATACATGAATTTTTAACCTGATTTGACATTCCAATTTCTGTTAGAAAGTAGCATCAACGAACCACTAACAGAATTTCAAGCACTAAAGCTTTGCTACAGCATAATTAATCACCTTTCAATGAAGAACTTACATGTTTTCAATGATTTATGTACCTCACAGATCTATCATAGAGCAATTACAACTTAAAGTAGCTTTTACATTACACATTTTGCAAGTTAGTACCTTTAACTTTTCCCTGAAAATGTGATTACCTTTAATTATACTAATGACTATAATAATATTGATCACCGTTCTGCACATAATTGATAAATGTAGCAAAATTTAATACTTATCACCCTTAATTGATGCAACATGATGCACCAAACTAAGCCATATAAGAAAAATTAAAACTTTCTGTTTAGAAACTACATTCCTAAAAACTTCTAAGTCAAGCATAAATTCTTTCCGTGACATTACCATAAAGCAAAGAAACATATGATAGCTACATTTCACATTACCAACACAATTTGAACATTCTATAATTTACGATCCCCTCGAAGTTTAAGGCAACCAATCAATGACAGGTGAGGAGTTAATTATAATCTCTAAACATACCCAAGAGAGTGTATTCCTCTCCAATGCTCGATTGAAGTCATCTCTACCATCTCTCAATTACTATGTACTCCCTCCGCCCCATTAAAATTGGTCCACTCTTAATTTGCTCAATAGGACATTCATGTTTGGTAGACGAAAAATCTAAGTGGGACGGATGGAGTAATAAACGGACACTTGTAAGCAATATCCGATAATAAGAGCAGAAATTTTGAACAAAAAGGTAAGCAATACCCAATGAACATCAAAACAAGCCAGCAAAATGACAAACCGAAAAAGCCCCCCAAAAAATCAGGTCTAGATGTCAATATGTCATCACATAAAACTGTACCAAAGTTTAAAAAGTACAGTATACTTTCATACATTAACAAATAAAAAAAATGTCAAACTTTTAATTTGTCAATCATCATACCAAAAGTCCCTCATTTTTTGTGGGTCTTCAACATTGATTTACTCCTATCCAAATTAATAGTCACATTTGCAATCTAATTTGAAATAGTAACGCGACAACTAAATCAGGAACAGAAAAAAACTAAAATCTATCATTAAAGTCCACTAGATTGATAAAAAAAAAAAAAAAAAAATCCAATAATATAGAATCATTGACTTGTATGAATAACAGATTTCTAAGTTTGGTTTACCGTCGAAATTAAGAAATAATGATGAATATAATGCAAAAAAAATATATATATAATGAAGAAGAAAAACCTGATAAATGTAGATGATGAGTGATGGTGGAGGATAGAATAGAGTTAGTTAATTGTGTGGAAAAAGGAGAGAGAAAAAGAGAGAGGAAGGATGAAAATGGTGACAGAAATAGCGCGTATGACTCTGGCCTTGGATTTCTCTAATGTTGTTATTTGCGAACTGCTCCGTGTATTTCATCGATTTTGGGTTGAAAATTATAATGTTGAATAGACAACGGTCAAATTGTTGTGACATTCTATTATTATTATTATTATTTATTTATTTATTTTTTTCCTCAAAAAAGACAAAGTCATACAACATACAAAAAATTAGTGGGAAGCCGAAAAACAATTTGGACCCCCACTCCTCTAATTATAGCAAATCTTGTTCCAGTGAAGATATGAGCAGTATCACGTGCCTCCCCCAATGTCTTGAGTCTTCGAGAACTTCTGGATCCGCTTCAACAATGCAACCACCTCCTTCTCTAATTCCCCAAGTATAGAGAAAGAGAAAGGAAGGAAGCCATATCCAATTATTCGACAACTGGATTTGTACTTGACCCGCTTCCGATGAGTTGCATCAGCCACAACCCGTCCAAGAACAAAGTCAGATAACCTAGACCGAGCCAAAGGAGAAGACCCTGTCAAGTCAACACAGACATCGTGACCACGATCCCAAGAATAAAGTAACACATCTGCAGGTCTGAGGGCCCCGTTGTTCCCTCCAGACAACCCAATGTAAACCTTCTTTTCTAGCTGAAATCCCAGATCGATAACAAACATCAACAAGGGTATCCCGCACAACATTATGCCGATGTTTAATACTGACTATACCAGCACACGACATCGTGTGATCACCGAAAAAATCCCTAGTAAAAACCCTTGAACAAGCAGAGCACGACGTCGAGACAGAGAACAATGGAACACCCAAGCGGTAGCACAACACACATCGGTAAGTCTTTGCGTTCATCGTCTGACCCAACCTCAAAATAGGAATCGCCCGAAGTCCAGTAGAGGTGTGATCTCCCTGCTACGATTTCCACAATGCAGATTGACGAGGAGATAAAGAGAAGGTGGATTCTATAGAATCGGTAACCTTTGTGAAATATATATCTACCAATTTCTTCATGAGTTTAGGGGCAGCGACCTCACTAGGATTACTCAAAATGTCAGACTCCACTGTTCTATTGAACAAGCTTAACGCATCCTCAAAGGCTCGACCAAGGCCAACAACGCCAGCATGCCATAGAAGCTTTGTCTACAACCCAGCAGACTGTAATCGTGAAGCAAGAAAAGCATAATGGCAAACATCACCTACGAAATAAACACCAAGCCTGCCATACACAAAAGGCAAGGTGGCAAGCCGCCACTGCCAATTGCCAAACCCAGGCCCTGAAGCAGCAACGATACGCTCCAAGGAAGATCGAAGAGCCTCGTCGAATATGCGCTGAGCCACCTCAAAAGTACTAGGGGCACAAGTACGCAAAGCAAAGTAGAGTTTAGAAACTCCGGCACAAGCCCTAAGCAACAACAACTTGCACCGAGGATCATCAAGCTTAGCAACCTTATCCATAAGCGCAATGGTCTTGGTCACCCTCTTCATCACAAGATCACCTCCAAAACCGAAATCGGAACTAGCGGGACCACCAAGCAACTTAACACCACGCAATGGTCGAGCAATATTAGGTGGAAAGACACCCACAAGCCTACTTCGAGGGTCTTCTGTAGGCCAGAAAACTTCAGTTTTTTTCACGTTAAGATGTAATCCAATTCGAGGTCCTTCCTCCATAATCAACCGTTGAACCTTCCTCATCACCAACGTGTTACCAATAACAGTGTCGTCATCCAAATACCAAACCTGAAGTATTATCTATGATTATGGTTCATGCTATTAAATAATGGAGTAACAACTACCAAATATGAAGCATTCTTTTTTTTTTTTTTGTTTTTTTTTTAAATAATGCATATACTTTCCATTATTGTAACTAGTATTATTTTTTTTAGGAATTTGTAACTAGTATTATACCATGTGATGCATAGAATAATTTATTTGTCTAAATATATGTTTTTTTATTAAAGAATTGTACAATTTTGTATTTAGATTGTTCTTATTATTATTTTTTTGTGTTTTTTTTAATCGGAAACATGTGTAGATATAAATTGCATTTTTTTAGTAATTAGTTAAAATGAAATACTACGTATGTAAATGTAATGTAGTATATTCTTATCAGGAAAAAATGCATCATATCATATGTAACATTTAGAAATACATATTGCATCAAGCAAAAAAAAAATGAATTACTATTTGACGACAAAATATTACTCATACTGACAGTGTCAATGACCATTTTACCCTTATTTTCAATTTTTATTACTTCCCCATCCATAATCACCTTCAAGCCACAAATTTAGACCACCGCACAACATCTGTAATACCCCATATTTTTATACGTATATTAATTTAAATTATTATTTTATGACGTATTTAAATAATTTGAAATAAATTAATTATGGTATTTAATATTTAAAAAGGTGTATTTTAATTAAAAACCCATTTATTATTCATTTATATGGTTTGGAAATATACTATTTTTATATTTGTAAACTTTGGGGCATATTTAATTTATAAAAGAATTTCAAAGTCAAAGGAACTTTAAATAAAGTCAAATGACTACTTTGAGTGGAAGTGAGAATCATTAAGGGTAAAAAGGGAAAGTTAAGTTAAGAGGGTTTGTGAGAGGGAGTATAAATACCCACCTAAGAGCAAATCTAGACTTTTTCCAAAGTGAAGAATAACTAAAGATAAACTCTCTATCTCCTCTTATATTTCTCTTTCCCTTATTTTTTCCCCTCCCCCTTACAAACACTCACATACACACCACCACCATGGGTGGCCGGCCACCACCACCACTTCCCACCGGCCGGCCTCCGCCACCAGTAACACCCTGCAGCAACAGCCGCCGCTGTGGACGGCGACAGTAGCTCCTCCCCCATGCGTGTGTGCGTGCGTCGGTGTATAAAAAAAAACTTCTTGTTTTAAAATTAATTTAGCTTTGATTAATTATTATTTTGAGTGTTGTGTGATGATTTTATAATGTCTTTAATGATGATTAATGTACATAATTTTCAGATTTGGTTTTTATATGAAAAAGCCCCAAATTGATAAACCCTAGGTTTCTAAATTGATGTTTATTGAAGGAAATTAATTGTGGTTGATTAATACTATTGAAATTAATGTTTTAAAACTAAATTACAGCAAGTTCAAGGGTTTTTATATTGTTGGATATGGATAGGTTTTAATGTCTCTTGGTATTTGTGGGTTGTAGGAGACTTACAAGTGAGTGATTTTGTGTAACCGTGGCGATTTTGAGTAACCGTGGCGATTTTGAGATTGTATTCGAGGTACGTACGTGTACTCGATATTTATTAAGCGTGTAAAAGCATGCTAGGATTTATTTATTCGATTTTGAATTAGTATCATGCTAGAAATTTATTGGAATTGGTGAATTGAATTGGATTGATTGGATTGGAATGGTTTTGGTGTAATATTTGTGAAGCATGATTGGTTGAAATAGTTTATTTATTGGAATTGGTGATATTAGAATATTTTTATTGAACCATTCTTTTATTATTGGCATGTTTAAAGGCTTATTTAATTAAACTAAATGTTTAAATTAATTTGGTTTGGAATATAAAAAAAGAGAATTTTATTATGGTTCATATAAATTTCATTGATGTTATAAGAATGGGAATTGAGCTAGTAAGTGTCTTAGTATACAAGAATAAAATGAAATGCGGTGCCTAAGTGCACTTAAGGTGTTCTAAACACCGAGGGATAGGATTTGCGATACTTTATGCGCTTAAGGTGTCTCATCACCGACGTAGTTTATTAAAAAGGATTCAACATTTAATTAAATGTGATCATTAAATATTCAAGAATGGAATTGGAATGTTTGAATACTTGAATGATTTATGTTGATTGATTGTGTTGTGGATTGAGAGTTATCACCAAGCCTAAAATATGTAAACAACGTAAAGTGGAAGAGATTGGGCACCAAAATTCTTGGAACGTATATACCTCGAGTATGAACATATGGGGGGTGTTATGTGACTATATATTTGATCATAACTTATACTGGGAGTACATGACGCTGTGTTTTCCTATTATTATGCGCAGGACATCCGTCACTTACAAGTGACATTTATGTCTACCCGGTTAGCTCCCGGAGTAGTTTACCTCAATTTATTTGGGGCAGGGATTTGGTGGGAAACTCGTTCAATGCGTAGTCAAATAAATAAGCAAATTCATTATCTAATGTTTGAATTGTATGTTTTGTGCTTGTAACCAAGTGCAGTAAGGTAAGTGTTGTGATGCTAGGATGTAAGCATGTTAGTGTGATTCATTTACACTTATGTACTCAGCATTGCTGATTGTGTGTTTGCATGTTTGTTTGGCCTTGTCTTTATCTTAGCCCTACGACGACCCATTTCTAATGGCGAGTAGTGGGGAAAAAGTAAAGAGAAGCTTTTCAGGTGATAAACCATATTCATGATGGGCATGAGTGAAGAGCGAATCTTGTTTAGTTTCCATAAGAATATGATATGTTTTAATTACTTTAATTATTATATATTTTCTTGTGAGACTAACACAATGTTTTAAATATTCGATTTGGGTTAGAAAGGGCCTACAATGGTTCCAAGTTGTAGGTTGACTTCGTTTGACTTTGGTTTGAATTTACTTTCGTTTGGTTTGACTTTTAAAGTTAGTTTGTTTTGAGTAGTTTTTGAAATGAGTCTTCTGCTGTGTGTCTTTGATATTTGCCTTAGCCGTTATCACAGTAACGGTAATGTATTAGAATTTCCTATTTCGTATTTTAAAAAGGGCAAAACGG